CCCTGTCCGTTGGAACCGAAGCCGTTTTGTGAGCGGCCGTTGGAACCGAATCCTAGACTGTTGCTGCTGTCGGGAGGCAAGTAAGAGCGCTCGAGGTGTTCGAGACGACCAGCGGCGCACACAGCTATTAAAGCGGCGACAATGAACTGAAAGAAGAACATTTAATAATTAACGAGAATAAAATAAATAATAAAATTACTGAAAATCATCTAATTGGTACAATAAATATGCTCTTCTTCTTCTAAAGTGGGATAACCACAGTCAGTTTTTCAACCAAGCATTCATAAGTATTTGCGTTAAAATGGTTTATCGATTCAACTCTTGGCATGTTCTATTAATTTAATAATGAATTAATGATAATTATAATATTTTCTAAAAAAAAAAAAATGCATTCACAAAATTAAATTAGGAAAAAGATTGTTTTTTTTAACAATTAAATAATATTTAAATAATATATACCAGTTTCATTTTGATGTCTGTTAAAGCTGGATATGTACTGCCAAATGTGAAGCTCACACAAAACTGTGATACTGTAAGACGAATTGACCCAATATATACCTTACCTGAAGCTAATCCTGAACATCTCACGAATGTTGACGTCATAGTTTCATAGCGATCATAATGAACGATTATATCAAAGTTACGATATGTTTAAAGTAATTAGTTGCTATAGTTTTTTCGCACAAACGTGATGACTCGACCTCGACATGTCAATGTATACGCACTTTACCAAGGATAGGGAATCCATTAGTTTTAGCAATATAACTGTTAGGATTTACAAAAGCTGTTTGAGTAGTATTGTTTTAATAGCTAATGGATAAATATAAGGCAATTGGGTGATTTTGAGGATCTTCCTGTAATACAATAGAATATTCATTGGTAATGTTTAAATTACAGATCAAAGAGGGATTTACAAAAAAAAATCACTGAAAAAATTCTTCATACGAATACAGAGTCCTCTCTACAAGCACTGATTTATTTTAATAATATAGCAGATATTTTATCATCATCATCAGCTCACTATACGTTCCCACTGAGGGGACATAGTCAACCACGCTGGCCAAGTGCGGGTTAGTTAACTTCACACATATCTTTGAATTTCTTCGAACCCAGGATCTGCAGATTGCACGGCAAGTGCTTGCTTGACCCCTAAGCCAACGACGCTCAGTAGATAAAGAGTAGATATTTAAAAGCTGCAAATTGTTTAGGCACTTTTCTTTATCTTGATTATTTTTAAACAGAATATAAATTCTTGATATTCTTTAAATGCAGTTCTTAAAATACATTTTACATATAATTTTATATATACATATAAGGAATATATAAAAGCTAACATTTAAGTATTTTACAATTAAAATAGTTAAGAAATGCAATAAATTTAGCACATTACGAACAAGACTATATATTGTATTGTGTATTTAATTAATTATTTCTCAATCCCCAACCTTACGGTAGCGCAATGCAAGCCGCTACAACTTAGGGTCCTTCAAGAATCGAATGTTCCTCTGGTGTTAGAGATGTCCATGGGAATGTCCTCAAGTCAGTGACCACTAAGCCCTGCTCGTTTGAACCCTATTATATAAAAATATATGATTTTACAATCTGGAATGTAACTTTTTATTTTTTCCTAAAGACATTTAAAATTCATTAGTAATGTTACAAAATAAAAATTATTCTAATATTATAAGGTTTTTTTGACAAATATTAATTACAGTTGTGAAATATTGACAAAAGTCAGTGTTGTAACGTTCTCATTAAATATGTTTATTGAAACATAATACATGAAATGCAACTTCGATATCACCTAACAAATATAGGATTTCGAAGCGTTAATATGGTGCTCAAATTCACGCGGACACGCTTGAATCATTTCACGTAGAGTATCAAATAAATTAGAGCGGACATTCGAAATATTAATATGGACGAAAGACTGTACGCAGGCATACTAGGAATTACGCTTTGGTTTACAATGTCTCGTTTAGATACACTAGCTAATACCCACGACTTTGTCCTAGCGGAATTTTATTCCGTTTCAATATGATACCAATACATGACGATATTGATAACGACGATATATTCAGAGGCTGAGGTTTAGACCGACCCTCACACCAACACCGGCTTTCCGCGTAGCCTAGTATATCCTTATAAAGTAGCTTATGTGTCCTTCCAGGTTAGGTTTAACATCTATGACAAATTTCAGCGAGATCTATTTAGGAATTCTCAAAATACTTCCTAAAAAAATCCATACATACAAACATTCGTATTATAATAGTAGTAAATGTTGAATGTCTTTGTTTCACTAATACAAACGCAATCAAATACGTGCACCGAGACGTTGAAAAAATACAAAAGTATTCATCAAAACGTGAACTTTAATAATTCGTTCATCAAAATAATACATTTGTTCATTAATATTCAAGCACGTTTCAAATTAATGATGCATCGAGTTTCGTAGACTATTTTAACGTGAGTTTACACTGGCGCATAATGCTTTTGTAAAAGTATTTGTAAGCCTACTGTGAAGCAGATTCACGATGTTACAGGCCGTCAACCCGGTGGACATATGTGATACTACGATAGTTCAAAAGCGTGCCATTGTTAATTTCAAAGTGTCATTGTATCCTTGTCGTATAGTATTTGTTTTCTTACATGTCATTTTCACCCAAGTATTTAATATTTAACACATTTAGTGCTCACCACTGGGATCCGAACGAGGAGGGGGCTTAATAGTGGTGCCGCCCACTCGGATACGAGCCCGTGCATTTTGTAGTTGTACCTAACCTAACTATGTACTTTCATCTATATTTGTAAACACACATAATAAATTAACAAAATACTCACAGAAGACAGACGTGAAGTGGAAGCAATTCCGCGTTTCGTCTGATGAGCATGCGTTCCGGAGGCCTAATTTAGTCCTCTTTCCCTTCCCACCCTTTTTCTTATAAGGTAAGGATGGAAGTGGAAGTGCACTTTCCGGATGAGAGGATGCATGGAAAGGGAAAATATTTTCTTTCGTTGCATCCTCTCCTGCGTCGATTAAAGGTAGGCGACGCATATGCAATTGCGTATGTCTATGGGCAACGGTCACTTCGCTATTTCAGCGATTTCAGGTGGCCGCTCGCTCGTTTGCCACCTTATAAAAACACCTTAAAATGTTGATTGCTGACTAATTATTCTATATTATATCTAAAGCAGTTAATATGTTTATGATAGAAAAAACCACGATAGCAGTGCCTCTTACTCACGTCAGATATGTTTGTTGGACTATATATAAGTCGTTTAACGTCAAATAAAAGTTTAAACACAAACTATTATTAAGTCCACGTATGTTTTATAGTCGTACAGTAACTTTGAACCGGATTTAATTGATGTTTTATTTCCAACCATGGTTAAAAATTTGTAGTTAAGAAAAATTCTAAAGTGTAAAATTACTTACGGTAGATTTTTGAGTGATGACACATGACAATGATGACGACATGTTATATACAGATATTTGGGTCTCAGAAACCCACAGTTAGAAAGTAATCGTATTTTATATTCATAAATTATTTCTAATACAATTCGCACCTAATTCACGCGTCTACCTTGAGTATATAATTAACATAAAGTAATCCAGTCACGGAATCAACCTAATTGGGAACATTCAGTACCACATCACGCGAACCCGTCCCTTACACCCAGTGTGTCACGAGCTTAATATAATCATAATAAATAATTGACTATCGATCGTTATTCACTGAAAGTCGTGAACACCAGTGTTAACCAAAGAGAGACTCTGTTCAATCTTACTAATATTATAAATGCGAATGTTTAGATGGTTGGATATTTGTTTGAAAGTATCTCCGGAACGCCTTAACGGATCTTACTGAAATTTGGCATATATGTAGAACATAGTCTAGAAAAAAACATAGGCTCCTAATTTTTTTTTTTAATTTTGCTTGGACGGAGTCGCGGGCGACAGCTAGTCTCTATCTAAATCATCTTTGTCGTTATCTTTGACAAAATAAAGATTAAACGGAGATTTTGGTCTTAGAAACCCACGGTTAATCACTCGCAATTTACTTCTTTCTTATATAATGTGTGATTCAGTTCACCACGTAGAAGTCATGGCGTGATGTTATACCTAAAATAATTTTTTTCTTTTATATTTAAAAAGAAAATAATGATTAAACAAATATTTCAAAGACTTTCTAACATTAACGTATTAAATCGGTAGTCATATTTTATTTTACATTTAAATTTGAATCGATTTGTAATACTTAAGCTGTATAAAAGGCAATCCTTTAAAATAATATTTTTCATAATAAGTACTATAATGAGTATGCAAAATAACCAATTAATTCGACTCTTATAAAAACTTTAAATCACTCAGCGCCTGCCATGTTTCTAACATAAACGGAAGCGTCAAGCTTTATTTTTTTTTTATAATTTTATAAGTGGCCAGTTTATTTAATGTGGTTTTAACACATAATGGCTTCGTTTTACAATAATTAGTTTTTGTTTTAAATTCTATCATTTTAAAAGTAGCTTATGCTAAGTGTATACTTAGTACATAAAATGTCTCGTTAACTTACTATGTTGGAAAAACTATTCTGAAACTAAAAGTTAGTTTTCATGAGTCTTTTAGTCCTTTAGAAATATGTTTGTACATCATCTATGGATGGATGGATGGGTATCTAGTATCAACCACGATCAGTCTGAAAAATCTTGGAATGGCGGCCACGGATAGGTCGATACAGCATGGACAAGCCTACCGTAAGATAGAGCAATGGTCTGGTCAAGGTTGCGGAAGTATCCTGGATACGGGTAGCACAGCACCAATCATCATCGTGATCTTTGGAGGAGGCCTATACCCAGCAGTGGACATCATACGGTTGAAGCGAAACTATGATCGTGTTATCATATTTAGAACAATAATAGTGTTAGGAAGAAAATCCCACACTGTGCCGGTGTACTGGCACAACACTAGCCTTACCAAAATGTCGACGTTTATGTCTCCTCACTAATAATTCTGACGCTTGACTTAGTAATGAAAGCGCGCAATTCTCGCCAAAGGATTCTAACTAATAATGTCTATAAATATCAACAGGAATATAAACATGAACCTATAATTGAATTTAAAACGTGAATGAAACATTCAAATTTGTAGACATATATAATTATTTAAAAATTAAAAATTATATTCGCCGTTGAATCTTAAACGCGGAACCGTTTAGAAGTTTATTAATTTTATATTTATATCTGTAGTATCGTAGCCTTAAACTTGTCTTATTTGTACGTGAACTTCTGAACTCTGTTTCGATGTGTCGAACATATAGGATTAAAAGTTTCCACTGTCAATAAACCGTATGAAACATACTCACAATAAATGTTTTACAACTAAACTAATAAAAATATAATGTATTTATAAACATAAATAATACTAAAGTAATAAAAAAAAATCTAGTAAAATACAATCTTACTTCTTGCTTATATTATAAATGCGAATGTTTAGATGGATTGATATTTGTTTGAAGGAATCTCCAGAACGGTTGAACGGATCTCTATAAAATTTGGTATACATATAGAACATAGTCAGGGAAAACACATAGGATATTAATCATGTTTCTTTTTAATTTCCTTTGATAAATTGATTGCGCTTTTTAATACGATTAGATTAATAGTTTTCAATTAGTAGTCATTACTATATAAGGCTCTTGAGAGCCATACTCTTGTTCATATCAGATTCACCAAGATCACGATCAACACGTCTTAGATCGTGGGAATGTAGAAACGCATATGTGCATATTTTTGCATTTTTATTGAACTTCTTATTAAATCATACTCTGATTTTTCTCAGACGAAACGTATTTATGAAAACATATTGTTATCTCATACAGTCATGATCAACAATCCGTTCTCCCTTTTTCATATTCGGAAGGGGGGGTAGCTGAAAACCAGCTCGACACTGGAATCTAACCAGTGTTGGCAAAACTGAGCCATCCCCTTTTGCCATCACTGTTTCTGAATAACTGTGTCTTGTATAACTTTAAGTTACTTTATGACAATAAATTTTATTATTATTATTTCTTTTTTTCACAGAGTATGAAAGAGATATGTATGTCAGGTTTGTGGCAATGAAAACCCACAGTTATTAATCCTTGAAGAAGGTCTACGTTTAGAAGTTTGCGTATAAAAACGTTGATGTTACTAACTCCAGTACTCGATGGCTCAGGGGTTAGCATTTGACTTGCAATCTGCAGATCCTGGGTTCGAATCCCTCCATGTACCAACGTTTGTCGATTTCTGATTTAAATGTACATTTATCCAACGTTCTTAAGGTGAAGGAAAAGATTTTGATGCTGCACATATCTGCGAAATTCAAAGATATGTAAGACCAACCACTACGTCAAGTCTCCAATGAGTATACTTGCAACTCAAAAGACTTGTAATGTCATGTCTTTAATGAGGCCGAGCACCTCCAAAATATCTTGACGTACGGGTAAACATGTCAATGGGTTCTTGTTCTTAATAAAACCTCTTGAACTGATTTAAAATTTGCAACGCTTTATTAGCTTGCAAATCAAATTGTGACATCTGCAAATTTGTTACAACAATGGTCCCAATGTACGTGTTTGTACCATAAACGAAAGATCAGAGAAATCTCTGCTCGTATTTGCGGATAATCTTTACGGTACAAGGCCAATACTTTAAGCTTCTTTATTGAGACATTTGATTTCAAAGAATTGTTATCATAATTACGCTTTTTGAGATTCTTTGAAAAATTGTTTCATATATTATAAACTAGCTGTCGCCCGCGACTCCGTCCGCGTGGATATATAAATAAAACTTAATAAGTGTAGCCTATGTGTTCTTTCAGACTATGTTCTATACGTATGCCAAATTTAATCGAGATCCGTTCAGCCGTTCTAGAGATTTCTTTAAACACCCATCCATCCATCCACATCACATCCATCTAAATATTCGCAGTTCTTCAAGGCATAAATTCGAAAAAAATAAAAAAAATAAATGCATAAATAGGATCCTATATCCGTCTTCTGGCTCACAGCTATCTCCTCACAACATTTTCAGTCATATCGGTAAGGCCGTTCTTGAGTTACAAATAGTTTAACTAACACGACTTTTTTATATATATACAGATGCAAATGCTTGGATTGTTGGAATAATGGATTGATGTTTGTTAGAAGGTATCTTCGGAACGGCTGCATAGATCTCGCTGAAATTTGTCATAGATGTACCATATAGAAGTTTTTTTTTTTTAATTTCGCATAGACGGAGTCGCGGTTGACAGCTAGTATTTAGTATATTAGTTTAATAAGGACAGGAGCAAGTGGCCTGATTTCGCCTAAATAACGAAGCTACACTGCCCATGGACTACAAAACTACGTAGTAATTAATCGTTGTATCCATGTTTGGTAAGATTTGGATTCCTTAAGTTTAACAAAGCAGTCCAAGTCCTTGGCATAATGAATCTATTCTAGTAGCATCTGCCATCTGTAGATCAAAGCTCCGACGTAGAGGCCACTTCATAAATAGTCATAAGGTTCATCCTAACCCTAAAAGGAGTTCAGTACCTAAAAGGGCGAAGTCTTTTTGCTCAGTCATACCTATTTTGGTTCGTATCTTCATACTACGAATTCCAAATCATTAAGCAATTGCATAAATGTGTTTGCTTTATTTATTTTGTTTAAATTATATTTATTTATTAGGAAATACTCGAATATGGGTTTTTGATATTAGAGATTATACATAGCACAAGGAAATTGTGAACTAGACGGAAACACCAGTATGGCATAAAGCCATTTATCCTTGGTTTCATCATTTCAAGGCACTAAAAGAAGAACAATTTTCAATACAGAACCGCATTATTGACAACTTTCAGGAAAAAAATCGACACTGTGTCGGTGTATCGGCGCAACACTAGCCTTATTAAAATATCAACGTTTATGTCCCCTCACTAATAATTCTGACACTTGACTTGGTAAATTCGCGCCAAAGGATTCAAACTAATAATGTCTAAAACAACTTAGTACGCACGTAAACTATCCGAATATTTTAAAGATTGAATGAATATGGTTAATCAGTAAATTATCAATCTATCACGAAAAGGCAAGTCCCTTCATGCACAAGGCAATGTCAATCTTTGAAAGCTAGCATCGCGAATATTGCGCTGCTAGTATACTAGTTTCTGGTATTGGCAACTAAGGAACAAAATAGCGACGCGTGTCTTTGTACGAAATTCTAAGACATCGTAATACTTTGCCTTGTGTCGCGTTAAGACGATGTGGAGATAACGTGGAACGTTTAGGAAATTAATCCTTATACATACTGTAGATGTTACAATGTTTAAATAAATGGTGTACTTATATAATGTTTCGTTTATTTATATAATAAAATAAAAATTTATTTAGTACAATTTTTTTAATTACCAAAAGCTGCTGTCGATCGTGGAGCGACTTGGCTCCACGATCGCTGCTCTGTCTCTGTTCGTAAGGCTATTTGAAATTTATATAATTTGGTACAGTCATGTCTAATTGTAATATTGAATTCTTTCGCTCCTTATGTTATCAATAAAATAGTGGAGTAAAATGTAAAAAGGGAATTTAAATTTATACTTTATTGAAATCAAGGTAGAGGTGTTACGTTAAACATTTTTATGTGATGTTATAAAAAAAGTTTTGTTGTCTGAACAATAATTGTGTACCTAATACATATTTTTTTCCCCAAAACTATAGTAAAGTACCAAATTCTAAATTCGACTATATGTAGTGACATCTAGTGGTCTTAATTCTAAAGTAATCTGTTAATTGTATTTAACTTACTACAACGCCATCTATGTCTTGTTACAGCGAAACTTTTAAGTATCGTAGAGTTTTTATACGATGCTCTTTTGTTTTTAATATTTTAAGAGAAGAAGAAGAGTATTAGAGATTTTGATGGTAAAATTGCGTATGTTTCGGTAATTTTTCCATCATTGCTTATCTAGTATTGGCTCACATATTTTGTCTTAAGATCATCATCTTAAAAACACCTTACAAAATCTTGTTCTTGAGGTAATTTTACGAATATTATACATGCGAATGTTTAGATGGATGGATGTTTGTTTGAAGGTATCTCCGGAACGGCTGCATGGATATCGTTGAAATTTGGCACAGATGTAGAACATTGTCTGGAGGAACACATAAGCTACCGATTAAGTTTAATTCCACGCGGACGGAGTCGCGTCGTCTAGTCTTTGCCATAATTTTCAACCAGTGTAATGTTTTAGGTATAAATATTAAAAGTCTAAAGAAATTTGCTAAATTCTCTTTATTATATTCATATTTACAAACTTAAAACTATAGCATCGTATAATTTTTTTTATACATTTTTTTCTTACAACTAGTACTGTCCATTTACAACGCCGCGTATAAACTATTTCTAAGTTTTTTTTTTTAAACAATTGAAAAATAATGAAAATAGATAATGGATAAGAATGATTTTGAGATCAACAGAGTATATGACTTTAAAGAAGAATTTCTATTTGTAAATAGACATTGAGTATTTAAATAATCATCACAACATCGGTTCATAGCTTAATTCGTCGCCGGTTTAACAAATAATGACGATAGAGGGAGTAATAAGAAAAGTATGAAGAAATATGACGCGTAAAAGAAAAAAAAAACCATCTCGTTCCAAAACCTTGCGATTTGACAAAATATTACAATCGTGTATCGCATTCTTTTAGTAATGTTCATCTTCATATCGGTGGTTTAAAGGAAAGAGTAATATTAGATCTAAAAGATATTCTAAAAGCGCATTTCAAACCTTATTAACTATCCCTCGTCATCATTATTGATTATTTAATAACGGTATCCTGTTTGAGAGTTATAGTTTCCATTGCCAGATCCTCTGGGGCCGGCGTTAGGGGTCAGGTACTGACGAGAAGTAGCGCCAGCACCAAAGGAGGTACCCCTGGAGCCGAATCCGGAACCACCGGCACCGAAACCAGAACCGCCAGCACCGAAACCAGAACCGCCATTGCCGAAACCGGAACCGCCAGCCCCAGTGCTGCCGGCACCGAAACCTGATCCTCTGGAACCAGCTCCGAAACCACCGGAGGGAGCGCCGTATTGACCAGAAGGTCCAGACGAGTAGCCACCGTTGCCAGCGCCGGCACCCTCACCGCGGTAAGATCCTGAAACAATTGAAAAATAAGTTTAGATAAATATTGCAAATCTAATAACTACTTTAGAAATCCAACTACGCAGAATAAAACAGGAACATCCAATGAAATAAAAAAAATATGCAAATGTTTTGATGTCAGCATGTTTGTTAGAAGGTATCTCCGGTACGGCTTAACGGATCTCGCTGAAATTTGGCCTAGATGTGGAACATAGCCAGGAAGAAAACATAGGCTACTTATTAGTTTTTTTAATTCTACACGAACGGAGTCGCGGGCGACAGATAGTACTACATGTTACAGTTATCTTAATTCATAACAAATGAAACACGCTAATGTCGAACTATTGTAATATTCATATATTACTTTTGACCTTTTGCAAACAAATGAAAAAGCGAAACGAGCGCGACTTCTTGAACCATTTTCCATTGCGAAATGTAATTACAAATAACTTCGTGCATATATGGATTTAACTGAGCAAGGTTTGCTGGGGCCATAGAACAAGCGGTTAAATTATACTATTTAATGTTAATGGAAGATAATAAATAAAGCCCTTTTTTCGGTTTTATCTACACCCAGCTAAAGCCGGATGATATTAATTTTAAGAGAATTTGGAATCCGAACTTTTTTTTTGAACGATTTGAGAGCAATTGAGGCACAAAAATCACAGATGTTTAAATATTACACATTTCATAGCCTCAATTTTGAATGAAATTATGAGATTATAAGCAATCAATTCTCTATAAGATAAATTAACCTATGTATTTAATGTATAACGCTAACTTCATGGCCCAACATCAATAACATGCGAAAGCTCATCGAGACCTTGCGCGTAAACCAGATCTTTTTGTTGTAGTTTTTAGAAATTAGTTAAATCTATTGTTACGGTAATTATATAAATAAGTTAATCAATAATTTGAGAATTATATTGAAAAAAGTAAAATATTTTAGATTGATCAATAGAAGTAAAGAAAATATATATTCTTTTATAACAGAAGGTGGCAAACGAGCTGCTGGAACATCGAGGTATTCAACGATGCTCATGGACATCAGTACTACCGGCCTTTGATATGAGGATACGAGGAGACGGAGATTCTTGAAGGAACCTAAGTCGTAGTGGTTTGGAAATCTTTAAATAACCCGTCTTAAATCATATTAATAAGGCTACAATTCGTTGGTCAGACTATTACGGTCAAGTTATAAGTAAAATTGCTCAAGGAAATTGTAAAAATTGCAGCAACAACACATGACCCTTAGTGATGAGTTTATGTAATAGCATCTCAAGCTTTGGCAACCTTCAATTTACTATGATTTCGATTCATTAGATGATTGGATAACATATAATGAGATTTTTTATTTGTACTACGAATTGAGTAAGATGGAAATTGAAGGCCACAAATATATCTTATGTTCCGTTGTTAAGACATTTTATGCTATAAGCTAAGATTTTGTAATAAACTTTAGAGATGCTATTAAAATTAGCTTAACTGTAGTCTAAAATAAGTCAGTAGTACTAAAAACAGACTACAACACTATTATTTTTTTTTTCAAAAATACAATTTAAGAAAGCTTCTTTGGATAGATGGATGTTTGTTATAAGGTATCTCCAGAACGGCTGAATGAATACGGTTGAAATTCGGCATAGATGTAGAACATAGTCTGGAAGAAGGCATAAGTTACTAAGTTTTTTTTTAATTCTAAAATATCATTCGTTCAAATCGAATAAGGAAAAATGAAACATTGCATGGGTTTATTTTCCCTTCATTAACGGAACTGCAATTAAATGTTACAAGTCTGTGAAACAAGCTAAGTGAAAATTAGTTATTTCCACCTCGCAATATTTAATGGTCCATGTCTTTTGTTCTAGATTTCTCACAGCGAGTTCCCAAACACTAAATGATAATAAGCCTGACATTTGTGTTTGAACTACATCATAACAATGAAAACTTGCATTAAAATTACGCAAAATTATCAATAGCGGGACAAGAGTAACGGAAAATCTATCATTTTCTCACACTATATCGGAGTTAATTTAAAATTAGTGTGATACTAATCACTCCCTTTTAATTATTAAAATTTACGTGTCATAAATAATGCGAAAAAACTACTTTTAAAGACTAATTTTAAGCTATACTACTTTAATTCTTAACGCTTTTTACTAAGATGCAGAACGCGTCTATCTTACAATTATTATAAATGCGAATATTTGGTTGGATGCCCGTTACTATGTTTCTCCAAAATGGCGAAATGGAACTTCGTGATATTTGGTATTAGAACACAATCTGTAACAACACATAGGATACCTATGATCCCGAAAATATATTAATTGCCGGATATGTTTGATACGATATCAACGTTTAGACATATCTTATTGAAATTTGGCACAGGTCTAAAACTGTCTCAAATAATAGTAGTAATATTCTTCTTGGTTGTTTTAATTTCGCGCAGACGATGTCACAACGTAATGCTTGAAAACCACGGATACAGATCATGTAACTGTCATTTAGGAAATGCAAAGATTTTGATATAAAACCTAAAATTGTTGCAATACAATATGACAGCATGAATAAAGGTCATTATCTAAGTCAGTCTTTCCCAAAGTGGGCGATAACGCCCCCTTGTGGGCGCTTGTCTCAAGTTGCGGGTTATAGTAAAAGATTCGTTTAGAATTCTCCGTTAATATACATATATAGGTCACGGTAATTAATTCATTTAATTTGAAGTTATAGTGGTTTTTAAATATGTGAAAATATGGGGGCGCTAAAAAAAATATTTATTATCAAAGTGTATAAGTATAAGTGTGTAAGATCAAAGTAATGCAACACGTTTCTCATACACATGATTACAAAGATTGTAATTAGACTTGCTTGATTAAGTATTCAATATCGCAGTTAACATAGTCAAAACAATGGCCAATTTAAATATGGGAAATTCAACTTTAAATCAACTAACATAAGGTGTAAATTTGATGGAATATTTGTGTTTCCGAAGGGCTTTAAGATGAACACGAGACCTAGTTTACTTAGAACAAATTCTCCCACAGACGTTCACTTTTACGTTGGATGAGTGACCTTTTTAAGGTAGCGATATCAAACTAGATTGGTACGACCCGACACTACTGCGGTCACGAAATGCTCTGTTAATTTCTCGGTTATTCTATATATGGACTGATTACTAGTACATTTTGACTCGTAGATTATGACGCCTTGATTTTGGATGGCGTGGATTTTATAAAAGTACTAGCTGTCGCCCACGACTCTGCTCTTGCGGAATTAAAAAACATAATTAGTAGACTATGTGTTCTTCCAGACTATGCTTTACATCTATGTCAAATTTTAGCGAGATCAATGCAACCGTTCTGGAGATATTTAATAACAAACATCCATCCATCTAAACATTCACATTCATAATATTAGTAAGATCTGATAAACTATCTTTATTTCTTAATACAGGTAATCATAGTCACACCTAGAGTAGCCAGTACAGATGAGCAAGCGGTACTACAATTGCGTCATTGCGATCGCAACGCGGCCCGTGAAAAGCCATAGGTCAATAGATTGATAGTAGCTCGGTGTAAATTTATAGCCTACTACACTATCTAAAGTAGTCTAGACATGATTACGCTCTTGATACATCTTCACTTTCTTGTCTTAAGTATTTATTGATTTAGAAAGTACAGTAAGTTTGTATGTGTAAATGTATGGATGATCTATACCTCTACTTTTGTTTTTCGTAAGTAATTTTGTGATGGTTAAACAAAAGCAATTTTTGAACATTGCATTCAAGTTGTGATTTTTATGAGTATGTTCTTACTTAGTACATTTTTTACGTAAGAAAAAAACTTAGTTCATTACGAAAAATTATGGTTAAGTCTCGTCTAATTCTAGTACAAAAAGTATCCAATTTTAATCCACAAATGAATAGTCACTGTCGTCTTAAAAAGTCACGTCATATTTTTAATCTTACTAATATTACAAATGTGAAAGTTTGGATGGATGTTTGTTAGGAAGCATCTCCAGAACGGCTTCATGGATTTTACTTAAAATTGGTATAGATATAGAATATAGTCTAAAAGAACACATAAGCTACTAATGAAGTTTTTTTTTAATTCCACGGACGGAGTCGCAGGCGACAGCTAGATTGTTAAATAGTTCTTATCTGACAAAGAGAAGAGAGCTGTATTTAGCATCGAATTAGAAAATATTCATAGGAAATTATGTCGCCCGGAATTGAAAAAATAAAAACTTAATAAGTAGCCTATGTGATCTTCCAGACTATGTTCTATATGTATGCCAAATTTCATCGAAATCCGTTCAGTTGTTCTAGAGATACCTTCAAATAAACATCCATCTAAACATTCGCATTTATAATATTAATAAGATTAAAATTGCAATTTACTAGACACGACCTAATCAGATCATTTCCTATACCGTGAATTAATTTTTTGTTCAATTTCATCAAAGTTATATAACTTTACTACAACGAAGATTAGCTTTTTAATGAACTTTATTCATTTTCTTTATAAGCAGATATTTCTTCGTAGTTAATTTTTTGTTTCCTAAAATACATCAGTCTTATAATATTAAGTTTAGTTAAGAATTTGTATATTTTTAAATTAGTTTGAATCTGCAATATTAATATTTGGATTCAAGTAAGAAATGTTTGTATGTATGTATGTACTTTATACATGTTGTAACTATGCCTACAATGTCTATTTGTCAATTGCTTATTCACGCATTTGCAACTTGTATTGAGAACATTTTTTACTGAGCATTACTTGAACTTTAAATTCATGTGAACTATAGCCTAAACATAAAAAAATCTTTCCGTTGTACTGAAGAAAGCTAATACCATCTTTTAGGGCTGTGGTTATAACCAGTTAATTCTTATGCATCAAGTTCCTTAAGAAATGTAACATTTTTATCAGTTGATTTTCTAATTTAAATAAAGTTCAACTCACCATCATCAACGATACCAGCAGCTTCATCGCGGGCGTTCTGTTCCAGGGATTTCAAGATGGCTTCCGGGATTGGGGGAGGTGTGGGAAGATGAGCGCCCTGGGGCTGGAATCCGTTCTCGTCAGCAGTATAAGTGATGCTGTAGTCTTGACCGTCATCACCCTTGTAAGCGAAACTGCCCTGAGACTGGACACCGTTGGTCGCCACACCGGACGCTTCAGCACGGATACCGTTGGATGTCTCGAAGTCGTAAGCGAAATTGTCTCCATTGATTTCGTTGTTCAGTCGTAGGATTTGAGCGCCAGCGTCGGCTGATTGTCTGGCGTTGTAATTGCCACCGTTGTAGCTTCCAGCACCACCAGCGCCGCTGTAACTTCCAGCACCTCCACCTCCGTTGTAGCTTCCTGCACCTCCGAATCCTGCACCACCTCCGGCGCCTCCGAAAGCTCCAGCTCCTCCGGCTCCACCGAAGCCGCCAGCGCTACCAAATCTACCCGGAGCACCGGCACCTCCTCCGAATCCATTGCCTCCGAACCCTGAGCCTGCGCCTCCTCTGGGAGGGAGGTAGGTATTGTCTAGGCGAGCGGCAGAGCACACTCCCAGCACGGCGGCAACCACGAACTGAATGAGAAAATCACAAAATTAGTCTTAGCAAATTGTATCTACAACACACAACGAGCCAAAAATAGCGATGGGCATTTATTTTAGTAGCTAAAATATAGAGCTAATTAGTAATTATTATTTGCTAAAATTTTGGTGTATTTAAATCATTAGTGAAATAGACAATTTTGTGGAAGAAATGCTCAAAAATATATTTAAATGCAGGGCAACTAGTAAAAGGATACACGTACCAAATAATTCATAAAATCTACTTATATACGTTTTAAACAATGTACAAAGTAATCCTGCCCTAAATGGTATGTACCAAACTGACCTTTAGTTGCGAAAGTGAATCATTTGACCCTTCCATTTGGAGTATCATTAAATAGATCAGATGAATATTTAAATATAACAAAGGTTTTTCCCAAAAAAAAAGGAAAAAAATGTATTTAATATTTTGAAATTACTTTTTTAATTATTGTAAATTTACAATTTTTTAGAGAGAAAATTAGACATATTATTTTTACAATATTAAGTTGGAAGAAATCCCTAAAAAATTACGATTTAAAATATAAAAAAATTAATTATTTAAATCCAGCCAGCAATGACTTACCAGCTTCATATTTAATATTGTTTTTATAAAAATAATTGTTGTACTACGGCTTGACTGCTCGCGGCTGACTGTGGTATCTGCAAGAAGTCTTGGTGGTTATATACCTCGCATCTTGCCATAGAACGCCACTGAAAAAGGCATCACGGCCGTTAAATTGCAATACAGTGTATCACCGGAATCACTGGGCTTGTCTCAAAGATGCGTTTGTTCACTAAACAGGTTATAAGTAATTAAACTATTTAAAAATATAAAAAAATATATTTTCAAAGCATCCTTTTATCAATGTTGAATTTTTTAATTGTATTTAATGATGATTTTATTGGTTAATTTAATTAATTTTGTATTTTTAATTTGTTAATAATTTTAAAGTAAAAGTTTTTTTTTTTTATTTTGTAAAAAACATTTCACACCATTACGTGGGTTAATATAAGACCGAAGGTTCGTTTGTTATATATTTTATGTGTAAAATTAGTAAATATGTGAAAATTAGTAATTTTACCATAGACAAGTATAATAAAATCAAGGACAAGTGAGTGTCTTTCTGTTTTCGCAAACCCTTACTTTGATAATATATTTGTGCAGTTTCTGCTAACGACCGCAAGATGGCGCAACATCTGGATCGACCACGAATACGTGCTCATCAGGACATTAGCTTTACTGGTTTCGTAGTTTTGAAACAGTTCTACCGAAATATAATAATTGTTAATATAAAGATTTTTATATTAACAATTATTCAAATATTTTTGACTCCACCCTTTTGCAGTATCTTAACTGCCCTAAGTGTTCTTTAATTATTACGTCAGCAGCTCCTTAGTTTAGGTAATTTTTCTTGTAGTAAATCTTACTAATATTATAAATGCGAAAGTTTAGTTGGATGTATTGATGGAAGGTATCTCCGGAACGGCTCAACAGATCTTGATGAAATTTTGTATGCATGTAGAACGTAGTCTGAAAGAACATATAGGCTACTCATTATTTTTGATCACTCCCGCGCGGACAGAGTCGTGGGCAACAACTAGTCTTCAATAAAGGTTTGCATCAGAGATAATTTAACTTTTCTGAGATGGTTAAGTTGGATTGTTCCTTAGCGATAAGAATTTCTCCGTAGAAATCTGTAAACTCTGCCTATCCTTCTGGATTACGGACTTAATTATATTGTCATTTATTATTAGGAAAATTAATCATATTAATCATACTAATAATATAAATACGTATGTTTTGATGGATAGCGTGGAAGAACTGATAGGCCACGAAGTAAGTTTTTTTATTGCGCGGAAGGAGTCGCGGGCGCCAGCTAGTTTAATCTAACATTGCAATGCGGTTAAAACATTCTCTAAATAACTGGTAAGTATCAATAACATATAAGTAATCGTAATGTTATATGTGAAAATTTTAACATATCGAATTAATATGTCATTGAATATGCGTATTCGCATAATAAAATTGTATTAAGCATATTAGGATGCAGAAGTAACCCTTCCTTGTGTTTCCATTGACTAGAAACAAAAACATTTGTCATCCCTTTTATTTCTCTTAAATAAATGAAACATATTTCACAAATACATATATTATCTTACTAATATTGTAAATGCGAATGGATGGATGGATGCTTCTTAAAAGGTATTTCCAGAACGGCTGCATAGATATGTTTGAAATTTGTCACAAATGTAGAACATAGTCTGGAAGAAGACATAGGTTACTAATTAAGTTTTTTTTTTTAATTCCACGCGAACGGAGTTGCGGACGACAGTTAGTACATATTTTTAACAGAATAAAGTCATAATTTGATGTTGAACGAGATTTTTAATATAAGTTTACTATTTTCCGTACGTTTTTAAATCAAATTAGAATATTCAGGGGATGTTCTGTTAGAACAATATCCTATTTTATTTTAAGATAAATTGCACAATTTTCACACGAAATTTGAAAAAATCGCTTTTCTGTTTTAATAACATGAAACCAGCCTAATTTTATTTATTGAAGCCTGAAATCGATTTGTAAAAGTATCTTATAGAATTAAACGTTTGATTAATCGATTACTAAACGGATTAACTCTTCGTTAATTATTTTATCCGGCGTACGTTAATATGTTTATTAAGTTATTATACCATTTTAGATTATTTTATAATTACTGTATTAATCAGCTGATGAGTTAGATCCTATAATTCTAGCCTTGACACAGACTTACTAGATGTCCTTTTACTCATTACAAGTCAACAAGTCTATCTTACTAATATTATAATTGTGAAAGTTTGGATAGATAAATGGATGTTTGTTTGAAGGTACCTCCAGAACGGCTGAAGTATCGAAGAATACATAGGCTACTTATTTTTTTTTTTCAATTTTCGCGCGGACGAAGTCGCGGGCGACTGGTAGTATACTTATTACTTTGATAAAAGATTCAAAGATGGCGTTAAAAGCATTTTATAAGATGAAATGCACAATATGTAACAGATTCCCAGGCGTCCGGTACAGCACGTTGCGACATCGCGGAGATGCGAATCCACTTTATCTATTATATTATTACCGCGAGGACAATAATTACGGTGAATCTCTTTATCGGACATACGGACGAAAAGTTTGTCAAGCAAAAAATTTACAATTTTTTCCCTTACGGGGGACGATGTTGAATTAATAAGCTGATTCTACTAAATAACTATGGGTTTTGTCAGCCGATGATCTAAACTAAGTCTATTTGTCTACTTTTACAAAGACATCAAAATATCTGAAAGTCGCCTGATGAGCAATATTTAGTAAGAAATATGTGAACCACACGAATACTTACGTGTGGTTAAAATCAAGTTTAAAAAAATATATCACTACAATGCACTCACTATTAAATTTAAGATGTTATAGTCAAACTAGGATAACAGGTCGTTGAGAGAGACACTATTGTCGCCGTCAGTTCTGCCAGAAAATGTGTAAACTACATGGGCATAGAAAATGACATAAGACGAGAACAGAAAGAGAGAAAAAACAGCCACAGTACAAAAAGAATGTTGTAACTCCTATTTGACATTGACATGGGGGCGCTAGTGAGCTGTCATAACTTATTTTGATTTAATCCCACCGAGCCATAAATTCTTGTTAGTCTTATTGATTTTCAATGATTATTGGCAGGTTTTCTACATCAAACATTAGTCATGTTCGAACTTGCTCGGCGTAATTTGTGTACGTATGTTCTTGAGACTAACGTGAGAATGAAATTTATCGTTTTGAAATATTTTTTGTGCATCCGCAAAAGATTATGAAGTGTCATTATCATTGTGTAGTTAAAATTGTAATATAATATATATTTGAGTTACAAAAGTAAATATTTCCTGTAATATTTCAAGAAACAAAGTCCTACGATTATTTTTAAGTGTATTTAAAGGGTAAATGCAGTTAAATCTAACCATATAAGAAGCAGATTCTTTATCTTTCTCTTTTTAAATATTCTCTGTTAGATAGTGAAACTCTCTATCTCTCTCTGATGTTCCTCTCTCTTTCTTTCACTCTTAAAAGAGTGAGATAACAATGTTATTTACTAAGATGTTTTAGCAATGAAAAAACGGGTTAAAATGATAACAAAGAAGTTAGCAACAAGTGTTCAAATTTGATGTTCAAATGATGTTCAGATGTTCAAAGATGTTAATCAATATTATTTTGCTTAGAGACGAAACTTGTTCAATTACAGGACATCCTGTTAATCTAATTACATCCTAGATGACTAAGTTATGCGTGACTTTAACTATGACGTCATTCAGACGAAGTCATCGCGATGATTTGATTTAGTCTGATATTACAGATGGAATATAATATTTTTTACCAAGTTAAGTGAGCAATTGTACGGTAATTTGTGGCTCTAATGAACGATGGCGGTTATGTTAGTATGCAGTAATAAGTGTTATAAAGCGGCTAAATAGTATGTGGTATTAAGTTACTTAAATGCTCATATAAAATATTAGGCACGAGTTTTTTATGTTCATGACCGTCAGTGGCGCAGTTATAAAGCTCTTGACCGGGTTCTATCCACCCTTTATACCAATTTGTTATTCGATAATTAAATTTCATAGTGAAATTTTATCCTTTATTTATATGGTGATGGAAAACATGGTAATGCAATTTGCTTATATCATAGAAGAGAGCGTCGGTGGCTCAGGGGTCAAGCACTTGACTTGCAATCTGCAGGTTCTGGGTTCGAATCCCGCCATGTACAAATGTGTTTTTCGATTTCAGATTTACATATGTACATTTATCCGACGTTCTTACGGTCACATATCTGAGAAGAAATTCAAAGACATGTGTGAAGTCAACCAACCCGCACTGGGCCAGCGTGTTTGACTATGGCCTAATCACTCTTAACTTAGGTAGGCTCCGAGACCTTCGGTGGGGAAGTATAGTGAGCTGATGATGATAGTAGAAATTTAAAGCTACATGTGAAGTCAACCCGCACTCGGCAAGCGTGATTGATTATGACCTAGTCATTCCCAACTGATAGCAGGTCTAAGCCCTTTGAATTTTTAAGTAAATCTTTATATATATAATTCTTCTGTGAGTGTGTATGTCACTGAACTTCTCTCAAACGACTGGACCGATTTTGATGATTTTTTTTGTGTTTGTTTAAGGGGATCTGGGAATGGTTTAGATTCACAATTTTGTCCGCTGGACAATGTTTTTTTTAATTAATTTTTAATTTATTAGTAGTTGTTGATTTTGGAATGTTTTACATGGATCCGACAGACGGCGCTACTATCGCAGTGTCAAATTGTCAGACAACGTCTGTCGGGTCCGCTAGTTTCTCTGTAAAATTCAACATCCGTTTTGTCGTTGGAAGAATTGAATGATTGAAGAGTAACCACAGAAAATAATACAAAGTAAATTCTAGCAATACTCGCTTTGCGGTAAACCTGAGCAAATTGAATGGCTACTGACAAAACCATATCTATGAAAATATACAATATAGTCGAGGACATTTATTTACTACCCATTTCGTTGAAATGTATTGACGCTCAGGATCAAAATTTTAATTACTAGCTGTCGCCCGCTACTCCATCCGCGTGTAATTAAAAACTTAATTAGTAGCTT